CCTGGGCCCGGCCGCGCCCTCGCGACACTCGCAGAAGCCGGTCTCGTTGCACCGGTCGTGCACGGAGCCGATTTGGTTGCAGTTACACTCTGGACGGACAGGTGTATCGCGTGCGGTCAGGGCGACTTGTGGGCACCGACCCCACCCCACCCCGCCCGGCCCCTCATGCCTCCCACTGGCTCCCCCTGTGGGTGATGCTCCCTACGCAGTGAGCCCGCGGCTGGACGGCGGTGGGAGCTGACGGGTGTCGTGTCCAAATCCCGGGCTCGACCTCGCTCCCTGGCACCCGCCCTCCTCCTCCCTCCCCGGCCCTGGTGCTGTGGGGCCTGGGACAGACCCTTCCCCGCTTGGGCCTCAGTCTCCGCACCTGGGACTGGAGCGGCAGCTGGTCCCTCCTGGCTCCAAAGAGCCGTGGCCGTGGGCTCCGTCCCTGGGGGCTGTCGCAGGTGTGTGTGTGGGGGTGCAGCCCTCACCTATAGCCCCTTCCAGGCGGGTGGAGGGGCAGACCCCGAGGCCTCCGCCTCCCCCTGCTCTTTCCCAGCTGGCTTCCTGGGGCCTCTGCTCCGTGGGAGGGGCGTGTGGCCCCACTCTGGGGCTCCCTGAAGCCCGGGGCTGGGCCAGGGGTTCAGGCAGACAGGTGCTGGGGGACGGGTGCTGGGGGAGGGGGTTCAGGCAGACAGGTGCTGGGGGCCGGGTGCTGGGGGAGCAGGGCCCTCTAATCGGATCCAGAGGCCTGGCCTGGCCCTGCATCTGGTTGGCGTGACAGCAGCTCAGTTGTGGGTCCCTTAGAGCTGATGGAATTAGCTGAAGCCTGGGCTGTAACTCGGCCTGACTCCAGTTCTGGGCAGCCCCCTGCTCCCGGCCGCGCTGGCCTGGGGGATGGGCAGTGGGGCTGAGACCTGGCCTCCCCTGTGAGCCTCGCTGGTGGGGGTGTTGGTTGGGGGCCATGGCTTTGGCCTTTTGTCCCTGCCCAGGCTCAGGGTCCCCCAAACCAGTGCTGGAGTGGGGTTTGAACGAAGCAGCTCGGGGCCGAAGCTGGGCTCTGCCTGTAAAGCTTCTGAAGAATTTCGTTGGATAATTTGTGGCTTCAGCCACAGAAAAAGGGTTGAAGCCTTTGATCTTATCCACCTCCTGACTTTACAAACAGAGACCGAGGCCCAGGGGGGGAAGGGAATGCACACAGCAAGGCAAGCGCTAGAACCGTTTACAGCCCCAGCTGTGGGCTCAGAAACCCCAGAGCCCGGGAGAACCCAATGGAGGTGATTAACAGCGGATTCTGGAAACGTCACTAGGCACCGCCTGCGGAGGGTTAGGCCTGAGCTGGGAAGGTTTGGGGCCATTTCTTGGTGCCGCTCCTAGGGGACTCGGTCTTTAAAGAGGCAGCTGTAGCGGGCCCCGGAGTGGGAGTTTCCACAGCCCCCGGGGGGCTCCATGCACTGCGGGGCCTTCCGTGCGCCCTGCACCTGGCCCAGCACCGGGACAAGGCACATGGTCCAGCACATCCTGTGCGGGGCCCTCCCAGGTTAGGGTTGGGGTTGTTAGGGTTAGTGTGAGGGTTAAGGATGGAGTTAGGGCCAGGGTTAGGGACAGGGTTCGGATAGTGTTAGGGATATGGTTAGGTTTAGTGTTAGGGACAGGGTTAGGTTTAGGGATAGGGTTAGGGACAGGGTTAGGGTTAGTGTTAGGGATAGGGTTAGGTTTAGGGATAGGGTTAGGGATAGGGTTAGCGTTAGTGTTAGGGATAGGGATAGTGTTAGGGTTGTTAGGGTTAGGTATGGGGATGGGGTTAGTTTTAGTGTTGGTAGGGTTAGGTTTAGTGCGGATAGGGTTAGGTTAGTGTTAAGGATAGGGTTAGGGTTAGGGTTAGTGTTGGTGTTAGTGTCAGGGTTAGAGTTAGCCCCACCCCCCACCCCACTCACCGATGCACACGTTCTCGTCGTCCAGCTCGGCGGAGCCGTTGCGGTAGAAGCCCAGGCGGCAGTGCTGGCAGTGCTGGCCCCGCGTGTTGTGTTTGCAGCTGACGCAGGTGACCACGTTGAGGAAGTCGATGTAGCTGCAGCGGTTGGAGTGGCCGTAGCACTCACAGTCTGGGCCGGCCGAGTGGGAGAAACAGCAGGGGTCAGTGAGGGACGGGAGACCGTGCCTGCCGGCTGCCCCCTGACCCGTGCCTTCAGGGAAACTGAGGCCCAGGGAGAGGGGGACCCGCCCCCGGACACGCAGGGGTCAGACCTGGCACAGGACCTGGGCCTCAGCGCCTCTGGCCATTCAGGGAGAGATGGGCCGGCCAGACTTGAGCTCGGAGGAGAGCCGGGGTGGGCTGAGCCACAAACTCCCACCTGACCCTGTGGCCGGGACCCGGGGAGGGCCGGTGGGCAGCACCTGCTGGGTGCCCGGCGTGGTGCTCTTCGTGGGGATGCCCAGGAGATGCCAGGGTGGTTAGCAATGCTTCATGCAGGGAGGGTGGTCATGCCAGTGTGAGCTCGGGGAGGGCAGTGCTGGGCCCACGGTGTCCCCAGCGACAGGAGGCCTAGGTGCCCGCAGGGACGCTGGGCGGCCGGAGCTTCCTCCCGTGCTGCTTTGGAAGATGGACGGCTGACCACCCCCTGCAGGGCCCTTCCTGTGGCCTGGGCTGCTCTGCAGGCCGGATTGGCACAGAGGGCCTGCTCACTTTGATGCCCCTACACTCGGCCCAGCCTCCAACTCTGACTGGGGGCCAGCCATCTCCGCGCCACCTGCTGTGTCCTCCAGCCCTGCACCTGCTGCAGGGACTGAGCGAGCCCTGTGACCGCCTGGGGCCAGGCCCCAGGGATTGCAGGCGGATTCCACGACCTCATGAAGGGGCCACCTTACCCGACTCAAGAAGGGGGGTCATTTCTTGGTGTCCCTCCTAAGAGACTCGGCACCCCTATGAATAAGAAAGCCAGCGTGGCTACCCGCCCTCCTGTGATGGGAGAGGGAGGCTGACCAGGAGTCAGGGTCAAGGGCATGGGAGACCTTGGAGAAATGAGCCCCTGAGATGTGCCCAGGACCTGCCCCCTTCACATTGTTTCTCCAGGGACCAGAAGGCAAGGCACCCTGCCAGTGTCCCCAAGGAGTAGCGGAGGTCAGAGGAGCAGCATCAGTGACCTCTATGTCCCAGATCTTGCTTCAACCACGGCAGCCCCTGGGCCACCTCCCAGGGGAGCTGGACTGGCTATTTCTGGCGGCTGCTCTGCCCGCCGTGCTGCCCACTGAGCCTCTGAGTCATGCTGCTCCGGCTCCCCTGGGGGCGGGCTGGAGGGAAGAGAGCTCGGTCACCTTGGCCCAGCTGCTCTGGGCGGGGCTCTGAGCCTGGGGCGGGCCCTCCAGCCCGCCCCCTGGTTTCCCAGTGGAGGGGGCGGGTAAGGTGTGAGGAGGGCTGACCCAGCCCTGGGCCTCCCCCTTACCTTGGAATTCTCCCACAGGCACCACCTGAGCAGATTTGGGCCTGAGCTGGGAAGGCTTGGAGGCCTTGGCGGGGGCGGGGGCAGCAGTGAAGGTGCCCGCAGCTTGGAGAGATGAGAAACAAGCTCTTCCATCAGCCCGGTCCCCTGCCCGGTGGGCTGTCGGGGCCCAGCAAAGGCTCCCAGGAGCCCTGCTAGCTCTGGGCAGCCCTGGCACCTGCTCAGACATGAGGTGACCAGGCTCACAGGGAGCACACAGAGCCAGCCTGCCTCAGTCCCCCTCGGAGACCAGCTGCCACCCAGCCGGACTCACCCTCCCGTCACTTCTCTCCTTCTGCCACCCACAGCGCGGGCCCCAGCTGAGCTGGACCAGGGGACAGGCTGAAACATCCCCCCCGCCCTGCCCAGCCCTCCACTCCCGTGAGCATCACGTCCAGTCTGAGCCTGGCATCCAGCCCTTGGCACCTCCCTTCCTTCCTGAAGCAGCCTCCCTGCTCCACCAAGTGAGTCCTTCACCACCCGCCGTCCCCCACAATTCCCGGGAGCACGGACTGTCCAAACCCACCCCACCCCACCCTATGGGGAGCATCGCCCCTCGGCTTCCCCCTTGGGGGTCCTTGGCGCCCAGCCAGTCCAGGGCAGTCAGTCCAGTCCAGTCCAGCCCAGTCCAGTCCAGCCCAATCCAGGGCAGCCAGTCCAGCCCAGCCCATCCCAGTCCAGTCCAGTCCAGTCCAGTCCAGTCCAGTCCAGCCCGGCAGGTTCTGCCTGCCTCCATCACCTGGGAGGATGCCTGGCTCAGGGCCTCCAGGTTGCTGGGAACTGAGGACCCGCCCTCGCTGGTTGTGGTTCCAGGCCCTGCCAGCAGAGGGCGCGCAAAGCCCTGCTTACTGCCCAGCTGCAGGGTTGCTGCCTAATGTGGAGGGGATAGGCGAGCTGGGATGGGCATGGCTCCTGTGCATGTCACTCTATGGCCACAAGCCCATGTGTGTCTCCTGCCCCTGTAGCTAGACAATGAGGCTCTCGGCCTGGTATCAGGGCCTCCCCGCCCCAGCCCTCCCTTAACCCACACTCTGCCCCTGGGTCAGGTGGGCCACCCACTGCCTCCCACTGCCAACACTCTGCCCGCTGGTCCGGCTGCCTGGACCGCGCTTCCTTCTGTTATATATTCCCAGTCACCCCCACCCCCTCCCCTCCGGGCCTGAGCTCCATCACCGCCCCAGAGGGTTCTCCACTCAGCTCAGAAGCCCTTGGGGGGATTAAAGGTGGTGGGTTGGTAGGTGAGGTGGGGGACGGGTAGAACTCCAAGGCCCCTCACCTCAGCTCCCTGGGGCCCCTCCCACCCAGGTCCCGTCCCACCATGTATACCTGCTGCCTCCACTAAGGGGGAGGGGCCCATGGGCGTAAGAGGAAATCCCCCCCATACCTTCTGCACGGGAGGGCACCTGGGGCCAGGGGGGGCTCACCCCTGGGGGGGTTGCTGTCGGTGGCCTGTTCCACTCTTGGGGAAAAGAAGAGAAAGGAAGTCATGCAAGGGGCTGGGGCGGGGGTGTGCTGGGGACATGCTGAGGCGTCACACTCCACAGGCCCTGGTCAGAAGCAGCACTACCAGCGGCTCTGCCTCCACGGGCCACAGGACTGGGCCCGAATCTACGGGAGAGGCAGCGTCTAGGGCACAGCAGCTCAGCGGGCCGCGGCCTGGAAGCTGCGTGGGAGGGCCTCCTGCCTGAGTCTGCATGCTCTGGGGAGTCCTTTCTCAGCGGGTGCCCTGGTTTGGGGACTCCTCTACCCCCCGTGTGGTCCCGTCCCACTGACGGGCAGAGTCGGATGGAGCCCGCATCTGGGCGCCGAGTCTCAGGCTAATGACTATGTGGGCGGCATCAGCCGTGCCCAGCAGGTCCGACCCCACGCAGGGACGCGTCCTCCCGTGTCGGGCCTGCCTCCCAGCCACCACCTCTCCCTCCACCCCCTGGTCCGGGCCCATGTCCCCCAGGGACGCCGATGTCAGTGAACCCCCAAGACCATCGGGCCGCAGCCGGGGAAGCAGGACGGGCGGATCGGGGCATCGCTCTGCGCTAGTCTCACAGGACAGGCCCCGAGGGACCGGGAGAAATCGGATTCTTTCTGCTTCTAAAGGGATTTCTCGGATGCTGGTCGGTGGGGAGAGAAGAAAATCTAGCGGCTAAGAAGTGCGGAGCCTTCCCCGCCCGGAGCCTTCAGGTGTCAAACTGACATCACTAGGCGCTCAGGGAGGGGTGGCCGGGCCCATCGGCTTAATTGGAGCCGCACCAGCGCCTGCCCGGGGCTCCAGGCTCTTCCCACACCCTCCTGGGCGAGGACTGCGGTGGGAGGTGGGAGCGGCCGTGTCCGCCAGGAGCCCTTGCCTGGGGACAGCTTGCCGGGAGGAGGGAGAAGCCTCTGGGCCAGCGGTCACGGGCCCACCTGGACTCTGGCCAAAGAGCCTGAGTGCCGTGGGGAGGCACGGGAGACTCCGGACCTTTCTGGGACGGGGTCTAGGGACGGGAGAGGCCCCGCTGGGCTCTTGGGGGACAGGCTCAGGTATGCGAGGAACGGCCTTGCAGGGGCCTGTGCCCGGTGCCAAGAGCAGATGGAGGCCCGTCTGTTCCTGCGGAATCGGGGAGCTGTGCAAGCCAGGCCTACGACACACTACCTCAGCCCGAGGCCGCAGGGCCATGGCTGGGCGGCTCAGTGGGCAGGGAGCGCCCATCAGTGAGCCCCGAGTGCGAGTCCTGCCCAGTGCCTGGCCGTCTGTGAGCAGCTGCTCCTTCATTTGCCCAGTTTCTTTCCAAACCGCTTTCCTGAGGTGCAGGAACCACGACCCCAGCTGCCTCTTCCTGAGCCGAGACCCTCGCCAGTGGGATGAGGGAGACAGCGCCCTGCTCAGAGCTGTGGGCCGGGACCCAGGCTCCGCCCACTGCCCCGGCTGTCAATCTTA